CCCCTTGCTGGCATCCGCATGTTTCTTGTAGGTCCGGAGGCAGGGTTCAGAGGAGGTAGAGCAGTGGTTAAGCTCCCTGTGGCAGTTCCAACCCCTGCTGTGATGCTGAGGGTTAGGAGGAGAGGGGTGATCTGGACTCCTCTTTTATATTAGATATGATGGATACGGGGACAGGTAAAGATTGGTTATTGAGTACATTGGGTGAGAGACAGATGAGAGTGCAGGTTCCTGCCCAGCTGATGGGGAGACAGATGTATGAGTTTTCCCCACAGAGGAAGAAAAATCCCTGATGATGGAGACAAGCTGAGAGGCGTAAGGAGAAGAGGTGGACTAAAGGGTATGAGATTCCTTTTTCTAGTTCCACACTCCACGCTGAGAGAGTAGTCACCATGGCGCTACCAATATGGGGTGACAGATGAGTGATTGAGACTGTGTTGCAGTGAAAGTGGGAGGGGAAGGAGTAGTGAAAGCCAGGGACCTGGGGGGGAGAGGAGGAGAAAACAGGCTCCACAGCCGTTCCCAGGCTAGCCAGGCCGTTCCAGCCCAAACCGCCACATTCTCCCTGAGAGAGCGGAGATAGGAGATGAGGCGTTTACAGCCCAGGAGAGAGTGAGACTGAGGTAGGTGACTGTGGTTTGGGAAACTGGGCTTTATGAGGGATGCACAGTAGCCCTGGCGGGTACAGAGCAGAACGAGAAGAGAGTGAATGGGGAATTTAATAAGATGCAGTGAGACTGCTCCGCCAACTCCACGATGGAGACTGCGGAGTGGACAGGTGGATTCGGAGAGGGCAGAGGAAGTGGCCACAGCGTCGGTTAGAAAGGAGATGGCTTACTGTCGTGTAAGGTGCCGGTCGGGTGTTAGGAATCCGTGCTGAGGGGGTTTCCGTCACCGCCCTGCGCAGGTGCTCCTTCCTCTGGGAGGCCGCTCAGCGGGGTCTTCTCCTCTGACAGAGCCTGTGTCCTCACCTTTCACTCTGTACTGTCCACGGCTTCAGCACCCACGTGGGCCCTGGGACTCGGGGGAGAGGCGGGGCCCCCAGAACTGGCTCCCACGGCTCCTTCTTCTCCCAAGGACCCATGTGGTGGAAGAGCCAACAATCTAGGTGAAATAGAATTGCTGTGACAACAGGTGCCAGCTGGCACAGCCTGCAGCTTCTCCCCCCCACACACACCCCCCAGGGGCCGGCCCAGCTCCCACCGGCCGCTCTGAGCTGCATGGGTGTTACACTGCCCTGCGGAGGGAGGGCCCACGTCGGTCAGTAAGAATGAATTGAATGTCGGTCAGTAAGAATGAATTGAAGGATGGGGCCAGTTTGCATCTGTCCAGGCCGCCCCCAGAGGCGGGGCTCTCTCACTGATCTTTACTCGGCCTGTGCCTCTTCCAGGCACCCCCTCCCCCTCCCTCTCCCTCCAGGAAGAAATGAAAATCTTAAAGTTCTACTTACCCTCGCATGTCTGGGCTGGGAGCTTTTCCTGACCCCCAGTATCTGTGCCCATGAGCCCCTGTGTTCCAACCAGCACAACAGGGTAGAAATTCCCTGCTTACAGTCCTGTCTCCCCCACTCGTCAACAAACCCCATGACAGCGGGGGTGGGCTCTATGCTTTTCCCTCTTGAATATCCAGTGCCTGGCACGGTGCTTACTCAGCATTGTGAGCACTCTGGGGCCAGGAGGTCCAGGTTCAAATCTTGGCTCTGTCATTGGCTGGCTGTGTGACCTTGGGCAAGTTACTTACCCTCTCTGTGCCTCACTTTTCTCACTTGCAAATTGAGGAAGATCATACTATGTTATCACAGTGTGTGAAATCCCACAATGCCTCTCAGTCAACGGAGCTGTTTGTTTTGTTTTGAAAACAAATATATATATATTATTTCAGAGAGGAAAGAAGAAGGAGGGAGAGATAAAAGCATCAGTGATGAGAGAGAATCACTGATCAGCTGCCTCCTGCACGCCCCACACTGGGGATCAAACCCGCAACCCAGGCACGTGACTAAGAATCAAACTATGACCTCCTGGCTCATGGGTCGACACTGAACCCCTGGGCCACGCTGGCTGGGCAGAGGGGCGGCTGCTGCTTTCTGTGACAGTGCCAGGGCCCGGGGAGGACACGGACGGTTTCCTGTGCCCTCATTTCTCTGTGCTGTGCCCTCTGCTCACCCTGAGCTCAGTCCCTGATGGCTGACAATGGATAAAAGGGCTTTGGTTTTAAAATTCATTTTCAATCACACCATTACTGCATAAGTGCATTTTCCATCATCGAAACCGAAGTGTTACTGGAAGAACTGAAGCTCGGTCATTTCTCGTCCTGGTGGCATCGTTGCCCTCTGACCTGCTTTCCATTCCACACGACCTGCCCCCCACACTCCGAGCGGTGGGCGCCCATCGCCTCGTTACGCGCACTCGTGGGCCCTGATCCCGCGTCGTCACTGGGCCAGGTGCGGTGGGGACACGTGTTTCCGCTGGGTGAGGTCTGGGCGTCCGTGAGGACGAGGTGGTCTCTCATGTGGCTGGGGCTCCCTCCCCGTAGGGCTGGGCCGGCGAGAGTATCCTGAGAGCTGAGGGCCTTTCGTGACCTCACCTCGGGAGTCACTGAGGGCCCCTTCCATCTCTTCTGGGGGTCCTGACAGTCACAGGCCTGCCCAGGTTCAAGGGGAGGGACGGGGACCCCACCTCTCAATGGCAGCATCAAAGAGTTTGTGGTCAGGTTTTAAAATGGCCATATCTCACCCTGGCTGGGTAGCTCAGTGGGTTGGAACATCATCCTGAAATGCCAAGGTTGCAGGTTCAATCCCCAGTCAGGACACATATAAGAATCAACCAATGAATGCATGAATAAGTGGAACAACAAACGCCCCCCCCCCCTCTCTCTCTCTCCACATTTCCCTCTCCCTGTCCCCCTCTCTCCCTTCCTCTCTAAAATTAATCAGTCATACAAAAATTAAATAAAAAAATAAATTGGCCATATCTCTCTCACCAGAGGTATGCTGTCAGCTTAGATGTGTAGCTTTCCAATATCTTGGTCCTATCCATATATATAAAAGCCTAAGTGACTGTTAACTATGATGCGCACTGACCACCAGAGGGCAGACGCTCAATGCAGGAGCTGCCCCCTGGTGGTCAGTATGCTCCCTCAGCCAACTTCCCATTGCTGGCCAGCCTCTCACTGTCCTTCCCTCTGATTGGCCCTGAGCTGGACTGGGCAAGGTGGCCCAGATCTGCCCCACTTGCCAGCCAGGCAGAGAGAGACCCACCTGTGCACAAATTCGTGCACCGGGCCTCTAGTGTGTTTATAATCACACATGTGTCCTCAACAATAGATGTAGTGTCTTTTTTTTTTCTTTTAAGGTGGATACTCTTATAATCTTTTTTTCTTTTTCTCTTTTTATTGTAAAATATACTTAACGTTTACCATCTTAACCATTTAAAATATATATATTTTTATTGATTTCAGAGAGGAAAGGAGAGGGAGAGAGAGAGAAACGTCAACCATGAGAGAGAATCATTGATCAGCTGCCTCCTGCACACCCTCTACTGGGGATTGATCCTGCAACCCAAGCATGTGACCTTGACCGGGAATCAAACCTGGGACCCTTCAGTCTGCAGGCCAATGCTCTGTCCACTGAGCCAAACCAGCGAGGGTGCCATCTTAACCATTTTTAAGTGTACAGTTCAGGGGCATTCAATACATTCACACTGTTATGCAGCCATCACCCCCATCTATCTATAGCCCTTTTCATCTGGTAAATCTGAACCCCTCACCCCATAACAACCCTCTTCCCACCATCCCCTCCTCCCAGCCCCTGGTACCCACTGTTAGAATCGAGTGTCCTTTATTTTTACAGTTTCTCACTGGCTATTGTTGTTACAACGAGCCGATGGCTTTAAACATTATTATAACTTCCTATTTTGAAACAATTTTAGAGCCACAGAGAGATTACAAAAACAATACAGAGAGCCCTCACCCGACGGCTCCTCAGGGAGCATCTTACACGCACAGGCCCTTTCCTGGGGCCGGACCCCGACGTGATCCCACCCCAGTCACTCCCCCACCCACAGCGCTGCCTCTGCTCTGGCCCAGGAGCCAATCCAGGACCCCGCGCCCCAGTTACTCATCCCGTTTCCTCGTCTCCTCTGGTCCGGGACAGATCCTCATTCTTTGTCCTGTACCGTCCTGACCGGCTAAAGGGCACTGGCCAGGTCCGTGTCCCTCACCTTGAGCTCGGCATTTACTCATAATTATTATAGATGGAGACTGGCCTTCGAGGCGAGAGAATCGCAGAGGCAAGGCCGCTTTCTCAAGGGCACGTTTCTCTTTAACAGAAAAAGGATCTCGTGTGGAGAGACCCACGACCGCCAATATCCCGTTTTTCCACCCTTTTTTCCATGTTTGTCTCTACCCCAACCCTTCCCCTCGGGCAGCCATCAGCTTGTTCTCTGTATCGATGGATCTGCTTGTGTTTGTTTGTTCTGTTTTGGATTCCACCGGTAAGTAAAATCATTTGGTATTTGTCTTTCTCTGTGTAAGTATTTTCACTTAGCATCACGCCCGTGCCCTCTCAGTCCATCCAGGCTGTTACAAATGCAAGATTTCGTCTTTTTTTTTTTTTTTTTTTTTTTTTTTTTTTTTTTTTTTTTTTACTGCTGAGCAATATCCCATTGTGTGTATTCCCGCTTCTTTATCCACCCGTGTATTGGTGGACATCTAAATTGCTTTTGTGTCTTGGCCAGCGAGGCTGCAAGGAACGGAGGGGATGCATGCACCCTTTTGAATGCGTGCTTTTGTTTTCTGCAGGTAAATACCCAGAGGTGAAATTGCTGGGTCCCAGGGCAGTTCCATTTCTAGTTTTCTTTTAGGCACCTCCACACTGTGCTCCACAGTGGCTGCACCAGCGTGCAGTCCGCCAGCAGGGCACGAGGGCTCCCTTCTCCCCGCAGCTCGCCAGCACTCGTTTGCGGGTTTGGTGCTGGGAGCCACTCCCCCGGGCGTGGGATGAGAGCTCCCGGCGGTTTTACTCTGCGTCTCTCCGGTGCGGAATGGCACTGCCTGTCCTCTGGCGTCTGCTGGCCACGTGCAGCTCCCCGTGTTCGAATGGTGTGTTTTTATTTTTAGTGCTCAGTGACACGAGTGCCTTATGTGCTTTGGATATTAGTCCTTATGGGAGGTGTTCTCCCACGCGGTGGTTTGTCTGGTAGTGTTCCTGTTTGTTTCCTTCGCTGGATAAAGACCTTTTCATTTGATGTCGTCCCATTTGTTTCTTTTGTTATTTGTTGCCCAAGGAGACATGTCCGAAAGCATATTGCTGAGGCAAGGTCACAGATGTCGCTGCCTGTGTTTCTTCTAGGAGTTTTGTGCCTTAAATGGACGTCTTTAATCCATTTTGAGTTTATTTTTGTATATGGTAAGAAAAAGTGGTTCGCTTGTCTATTTTTTTTCCCCACCTACTAATTTTACTGCTCTGTTTCCCCGAAAATAAGACAGTGTCTTATATTAATTTTTGCTGCCAAAGATGCACTAGGTCTTATTTTCAGGGGATGTCTTATTTTTCCATGAAGAAGAATACGGTACACATTTATTGTTAAATGAAAATAAAGGAAATTTATTACCTGTATACGGTACAGTAGTACGGTAGTTGTCAACACAAACCAGACAAACTGTGAATCCTACAGTATCAAGAATTTACTCATTTATTCAATGACAATCATGTCATCATCTTCTGGAACATCATCATAACAATCCAATTCCTGAATTTCCTGGTGAATTTCTTGTGACTCCATTTCTTTCAGAATCAGTGGGCCAAATCTCTCATGTTTAGCAATAGCATTCTGAGACAGAGCCTAGGGGGGGGCCTTATTTTTGGGGGGATGCCTTATATTTCACTCAGAAGGAAACCTTGTAAGTAGGTCTTATTTTCAGAGGATGTTTTATTTTCGGGGAAACACGGTACTATTACTATCATCATCATCGTCATCTCCTTCCTTCTTTGCTTCAGTATTCCTTAAAAAAAAAAAAAAGATATTTTTATTGATTTGAGAGAGAGAGAGAGGAAGGGAGAAGAAAGGAGAAAGAAACATGGATGTGAGAGAGGAACATCGATCCGTTGCCTCCTATATGCACCCCAATGGGGGCTCAAACCTGAAACGTGGGTCTGTGCCCTGACCGGGAATCGAAATGAGAGCTGGCCGGGGCTGTACTTCTGTCCTTTCCGACACGTTATAGTTCACAGTTAACTTGTACCAGGTAACACTGCATATCCTAGTGATACAGAGTGACTTTCCAGAAATCCCTTCTCTTAACTAAGTCATTGAACTCAGAGAGAGTGCACTGCACGGGGGAGATGGGGAAGAGCGGTGACAGGGAGAGTTGGGGTCAAATGCCGTGTGGGAGGAGGGTGTGCCCCTCTTTTCGGTGGAAATGGCATTTCTGTCTGGCCTGTGAGCACATGGTCATACGTCTGAGTGTGCTGAGTGCTTGACAAGGAGTTGGAGCCGAGCTGTCTGCGGCCGGAGATGTTCTCTGTGGAGCCGCGCCAGCTTCAGAAACAGGCCAATGGCTTTTTACGGCAGCTGTGCGGCATAGTGTGTTGGGTTTGCTCATCCCCAGTGCAACGGAAGCCAATCCCAGGTGTCTAGGTTCGTGCTGTCTTCTGCAGCAACGAACGTTCTAATTCGTCCAGCTGACTGGCTGTGAGAGCCTCGCTGGCCTGCAAAGCCTGAAATACTTACATCCGGGCTTTATAGAAAATTGTTGCCAACTTCTGAAGTTCCTGCACCGTCAAGGTAATTTATCAAGTTATGGGGCAGCTTGTTTATTTTTAACCAAATGCTTTGGGGTGATGTTTCTGCCCTTTTCCATTGATAAGTGGATTATTTTATTACTCCAGTTATGCAAAAGCGATATAACGGACACCAGGTCCTTTACACCCAATTTAATGAGTAAGACACCACCCGTCTCTCTGGGGTCACTGGTAGCTGTGCCCTCTTTGCTGATGCATCCTGCCCAGAGGAAACACTACCCTGAGTCTGTTTGTCATACATTTTTCTAGTTCTTTGTTTTTTAAGAAATAAAAGACAAAGATTTATTAATAGTTCTTAGAGTTGGAAAACTGGAAACACATCTGGCAAAACCAGAAGTGTTCCAAAGAAGAAAGAAATTTAAGAGTTATTGTACTATTGCACCAAAAACATTAAGATACCTAGGAATAAGCTTAGCTAAGGAGGTAAAAGACCTCTACTGTACTCAGAAAACTACAGGACACTGAAAAAGAGAGATGGAGGAAGATATAAACAGATGGAAGAACATATCATGTTCATGGATTGGTAGAATCAACATCAGTAAAATGTCCATACTACCCAAAGCAATCTACAGATTCAATGCACTCCCCATTAAAATACCAACGGCATATTTCACAGACCTAGAACAAACTCTCCTAAAATTAATCTGGAATAAAAAAAACAAACCCGAATAGCTGCAGCAATCCTGAGAAAGAAGAACAAAGTTGGAGGGTTTTGGTTTTTTTTTTTGGTTTTTTTGTGTGAAGGATTTCAATACCAGATATCAAGCTGTATTACAAGGCCACTGTTCTCAAAACAGCCTGGTACTGGCACAAGAACAGACATATAGACCAATGGAACAGAACAGAGAACCCAGAAATCGACCCAAGCCGTTATGCTCAATTAATATTTGACAAAGAAGCAAGAACATACAATGGAGTCAAGACAGTCTCTTCAATAAATGGTGCTGGGAAAATTGAACAGATATATGCAAAAAAAAAAAAAAAAAAAAAGGTGAAACTAGATCACCATACACAAAAACAAACTCAAAAAGGCTAATGGACTTGAATGTAAGACGGGAAACCATAAAAATCCTAGCGGAATCTACAGGAAGCAAAATCTCAGACATATGCCGAAGTAATATCTTTACTGACACAGCTTCTATGGCAATGGAGACTAAAGAGAAAATAAACAGATGGGACTACATCAAAATAAAATGCTTCTACACAGCAAAAGAAGCCATCAACAAAACAAGAAAGCCCATTGTATGGGAGAACATACTTGCCAATGTTACATCCAATAAGGGTTTAATCTCCAAAATTTACAGAGAACTCATACAAGTTAACAAAAGGGAGATAAACAACCCAATCAAAAAAGTGGGCAACGGACCTAAATAGATACTTTTCGAAAGAAGACGAAAGGCCAACAGACATATGAAAACATGCTCAGAGAGATGAAAATCAAAACGACAACGAGGTACCATCTCAGAATGGCTATCATCAACAAATCAACAAACTGACAAGTGCTGGCGAGGATGCAGAGAAAAAGGAACCCTCGTGCACTGCTGATGGGAATGCAGACGGGTGCAGCCACTGTGGAGAACAGTATGGAGTTTCCTCAAAAAGTTAAAAATGGAACTCCTGTTTGACCCAGTGATTCCACTTCTAGGACTATATCCCAAGAAACCAGAAACACCAGTCAGGAAGGATATATACACCCTTATGTTCATAGCAGCACAATTCACTACAGCTAAGATTTGGAAACAGCCTAGGTGCCCATCAGCAGATGAGTGGATTAAAAAACTGTGGTACAGCTACACAATGGGATACTACACTGCTGTAAAAGGGAAGGAACTCCTACCATTTGCAAGAGCATGGATGGACCCGGAGAGCATTATGCTAAGTGAAATAAGCCAGTCGGAGAAAGATAAATATCACATGATCTCACTCATTTGTTGATTATAATGAACAACATAAACTGATGAACAAAAATAGATCCAGAGACAGAGAAGCATTGATCAGATGCTCAAACCTCAGAGGGAAGGTAGGGGAGGGTAGGAGTAAGGGGGAGACATCAACCAAAGGACTTGTATGCATGCATATAAGCCTAGCCAATGGACACAGACAACAGGGGGTGAGGGCATGAGTGAGGGGGGGGAGTGAGGGGATGAGGAGACATATGTAATGCCTTAATAAAGAAAGAAAAAGAAAAAAAGGAGTTAATATAGTAAAAAATGCACTCTTGAGAACATCCGTTCTGTATTCTTAGCCCTAAGACTGGTCTGGGATGGCCAGGAGTCAGGAGCCAGGTGTCCGGAGGACAGTTGCCAAGGGGTCTGGTCACAGCCTGAGTCCTTTAGGGTGGTCAGAGGGTTATATGAAAATAGCTGTTCAGGCATTGACACAGGACTGGATGGTTCAAAAGCTTTCGTTCCAAGGCTAGTCTAAGACTGTAGTCAGCAAACTGTGGGTCGAGAGCCACATTCGACTCTTTGACCTCTTGAGTGCGGCTCTTCACAAAATACCACTGCCTGGGCGAGTCTATTTTGAAGAAGTGGCGTTAGAAGAAGTTTAAGTTTAAAAGACTTGGCTCTCAAAAGAAATTTCAATCGTACTGTTGCTATTTGGCTCTGTTGATGAATGAGTTTGCCGACCACTGGTCTAAGATAAGAAAAAGAATTGTTTTCTTATGTCTCCGCCTTCCTAATGTTAATCGTTTAGCAGCTTGGTTGAAGTCACTCCATTTTGTATTCTCCTGTCTTCACTCTTTCCATCTGAATCAAACACCAGCTACTTATTCTCTCTCACAGTTTATGCAGATGGGGAATTGCTCTAGGTTCTGGCTCTCTCCTGGTTTCAGCCGGAGCGGAAGGCCTGCCTGGGGCTGGGAGGTCCACTTCTAAATGCACGCGGACAGACGGACGGCTGTTGGCGGGAGGCTCCTCCTCACCGTGTGGGCCAGGCCTCGCCACCGGGCGGCTGGCTCCCCCGGAGTGAGCGGCTGTTCCGTCCAAGGGAAGAGTCGGAGGGAGCTGATCACATTGCTCTCAACTTCCGTGTAGAAAATTGAATTTCTACACAAAAATACTCACTTCTTTTAAATTTAAGAAAGCATTTAGTTGTTTGCCTTCTTGGTATTTTGAAGTAGCGCATCCACATGTTTGTCACGTCGGTCTGTTCCAGTGAGGACATCCCTCCACCGCAGGGACAGGCGGAGTTTTCCTGGTTTTACCGTGTGGCTCTGGCACGCGGCCTCCGCCCGCTCAGAGCTGGTTTCCGTATGTGCTGTGAGGCCGGGCCCACTTTGCCCGTGGTGGTCGGCAGTCCCCGCGCTCTTTGTGGAGCAGGCCGTCCTGCCTCCGCCGAATGGTCTTGGCGTCTTTGCAAACAAATCACCGGCCACAGATTGCACATTTTATTTCCGGGCTTGCGGTTCTGTTCCAGGGACCTATCTGCCTACCCTTAGACCAATGTCACCGTGTTTTGATTACGGCGAGTTTTGTAATTGGGATGTGTGGGGCCTCCAATGCCATCGATCGGTTTAAAGACGGTACCGTCTGTCCTGGGCCCCTTGCAATGCCATTGGAGCTCGAGGATAGGCTTGACCACTACTGAGCAAAAGATGATTGTGATTTTTTAAAAAAAATAAGTATTGCCAAAACCGGTTTGGCTCAGCGGTAGAGTATCAGTCTGCAGACTGAAAGGTCCTGGGTTCGATTCCGGTCAAGGGCATGTACATTGGTTGCGGGCACATCCATGGTAGGGGATGTGCAGGAGGCAGCTGGTCGATGTTTCTCTCTCATCGATGTTTCTAGCTCTCTATCTCTCTCCCTTCCTTTCTGTAAAAAATCAATAAAATATATTTTTTTAAAAAATAAGTATTGCCCTGGCATGTTTGTCTCAGTGGACTGAGTGTCGGCCTGCAGACTCAAGGGTCCCAGGTTCGATTCCAATCAAGGGCATGTACCTTGGTTGCGGGCACAAACCCAGTAGGGAGTGTGGAGGAGGCAACTGATAGATGCTTCTCTCTCATCGATGTTTCTGACTCTCTTCCCTCTCCCTTCCTCTCTGTATAAAATCAATAAAATATATTTTAAAAATAATAATAACTATTGTAACTTCATTAAAATGAAAAGACAATATTCAAAATGATGCAACAATACTGCACACATAATGCAGAAATCAGTGCATTTTCCAAAAGCACGTTTTAGCCTGCATGTAGTCAGACTAGCACATCAGCGTCGCACAGCCAAGTCACTCGGCGGTGGGAGGCAAACAGTGGTTTAGCAGTTGTGAGAGCACCGAGCACCAAACACTGAGCACCAAGCACCGAGCATCGCGGTGCCGCGCCTTCTCCTCGGGGCCTGGCTGCGCGGGCGCAGAGGCTGGCGGGCAGTGGGAGGGAGCCGCGGGCTGTGGTGCTGAAAGCGGACGGTGCGGGTGTGACTCTCCGGTTAAGACAGTCGCTCTGGGTCAGAAGGCTACACGTCAAAAGCAAGCAATCCCCAGGAAATACCGAGTAGGAACCCGCAACACAAGGCCAGCTTGTGTTGTGTTTGTTTATTAATAGACAAAAAACAAAAAACAAAAAACCACAACACCCCAAAACACACATTCCCACACAGCAGCTCTCAACCACACAGCTGCTTCATTATTGCTCAGAAGCATCCGCGCTGGGCCTCGTGCGGCCGCTGTTTCTGTGAGGCAATGGCAGTGGCCGTGGGCGGGGCGGGTGGGACACAGCAGGAGCTGGAAGGAAATGTTCTGTCACCTTCTTACTTTTCAAGAAGTGAGTCACGTACGGGTGGAAGCGTGGCTGCCAGGTAAACTGCCAGTGCCCCCTTGGCGACAGGAAGTGACATCAGCCTCGGGTGATTTTTACACCAGGTCTGTCCAGCCACAGTAAGAACACCCCACTCCCCACCGAAAAGGCTGCAAAAACACATCAAACAAAATGTAACAGACCAAAGAGCCAGAAGTCCTCAAACTTACTCAGCAAAAGCAATTCTTTTTATTTTATTATTATTGTCTAAAGTGTTACATATGTCTCCTTTTCCCCAGTTGACTCCCTTTCTCCCCGCCGCAGCTATTCCTTCCCTGGGCAAGTCCCCCGCCCCCACCCCCCAGTGTCTGTGTCCATTGGTTATGCTAATGTGCATACACTCAAGTCCTTTGGTTGTTCTCTAACCCGCCTCTCCCTCCACCCCCCTGCCCCGCCATTTGTCTCTGGATCTATTCTTGTTCATCAAATTATGTTGATCATTATATCCCACATATGAGTGAGATCACATGATATTTATCTTTTTCCAACTGGCTTATCTCACTTAGCATAATGCTCTCCAGTTCCATCCATGCTGTTGCAAATGGTAGAAGTTCCTTCTGTTTTATAGCTGCATAATATACCATCGTGTAGCTGTACCACAGTGTTTTAATCCACTCATCTGCTGATGGGCACCTAGGCTGTTTCTAAATCTTAGCTATTGTAAACAGTGCTGCTATGAACATAGGGGTGCATATATCCTTTCTGATTGGTATTTCTGATTTCTTGAATATATTCCTAGAAGTGGAATCACTGGGTCAAACGGGAGTTCCATTTTTATCTTTTTGACTCTGAGGGAACTCCATACTGTTCTCCACAGTGGCTGCACCAGTCTGCATTCCCACCAGCAGTGCCCGAGGGTTCCTTTTTCTCTGCATCCTCGCCAGCACTTGCCATCTGTGTGAGATGGTACCTCACTGTTGTTTTGATTTGCACCTCTCTAATGATTAGTGACTTGGAGCATGTTTTCATAGGTCTCTGGGCCTTCTGTATGTCCACTTTCAAAAAGTCTATTTTGTCTATTTCGTTCCTTTGCCCATTTTTTGATTGGGTTGTTTATCTCCCTCTTGTTAAGTTGTATGAGTTCTCAGTAAATTTTGGAGATCAAATCCTTATTGGGAAAAGCATTGGCAAATCTGTTCTCCCCTGTAGTGGGAAAAGTAATTCTTTATGATTCTAAATACTGTGCTTTCTCCAGTTGGCTCAGTTTCTAGTCTATCAAGAGTCCTAGTCCAGTGTGAGGTTGTTTTTTTTTTAATATTGATTATGGTATCACATAATTGTCCTCATCCCCCCATTTACACACCAAACCCCTCCCAACATATGCCCCCTCCCCCCTGTTGTCCGTGACCACTGGTTAGGCTTATATGCATGCACACAAGTCCTTTGGTTGATCTCTCTCCCTTCCTCCCACCCTCCCCTACCTTCCCGCTGAGGTTTGAGAGTCTGATTGATGCTTCCCTGTCTCCGGGTCTGTTTTTGTTCATCAGTCCATGTTGCTCACTATTTCCCCTAATGTGTGAGATCATGTACTACAAGAAAATACACTTGTAAGAACCGAGAATAAGACCATCCATAATGGTTATGCTGAGAGGCAAATGAATCCGTCTATAGTGAGTTTCTTTCTGGGACAACAGTTCTTTTCAGTCCCAATTTCTATGTCAAACAGTTCCTTATGTGTACATGTCAGCAATGATATTTCAGTTCTGGATGGTGGACAAATGATGGTGATACAGGTCCGACCGTCTCTGGTTTGGTTCTGGGCATCCTTCAGCGACACACAGCTGCTGTCTGCTAGTATGGCAAGGCATTGTCAGTGTCTTCCCTCTCTGGACTGTTTCTCTTCTGTCTTTGTGGCTGGAGCAGTCCTGTCAATTCCTCTCTGCTGCAGAAATCCACATGGTCCTAGAGTGTTTTTTTTTTCTTTCCTGAAAATATACAAACATATTCTCTACCAAAAGTTAATAAAGGAATATTTTCTATAAAATAGACTTGGGATTCTTTTTCATTTTTTTGCCCAAACGATTCTCCTCTGGCTTGTTTTGACACCATGTGTGTTTTTCATGGGTGATTTGAGCTGCCCTGAGGTGTGTCTTTGGAGGTGGAGGTCCCAGGTTCGAGGGTCTGCAGCTGGGGTGGCAGGATATTGGCTGGAGTGGGCGCTGGGTTGCGGGGCAGTTCCCAGGCCTGTCTTGGTGGTAGTGTTGATGAGTTTCTAAAAAAGGCCAAGATGGTGTCCGCCCAAGATGGCGTGGGCTCCGTCCGTGCTGGAGTCCCGCTGTCCGGGGAGTGCCCGCAGCGAGGCAGTCTCTCCTTGTCAGGGAGAGCCTGTCTGCCAGCTCCTGTGCTCCTGCGAGATGTAACTGTCCCTCCCTCACTCACACCACACGCACATCCACACACTCTCCTCTCACACCCTCACTCACCCGCTGCCTCTCCCTCCGCTTCCTCCTGCCAGCCGCCACCTTCGAACCCTCCAGCGTGAGTTTAATGCTGAGTGCATGTCACTAAGACAGTAACTAACTGGTTAATCGGTGGCTGGTAGACTGCCAGTTTACACAGAGGTCTGCGCTGTGGGCGTATACAAAAGCGTCCCCGTCCATACCCCCCTCCCCAGAGTTTTGTGTCCATTGGCTGTACTTATATGCATGTATACAAGTCCTTCGGTTGATCTCTTATGTATGGGGGGTGGGGGTCAATGTAAAATATGTACACAGATAATAATTTAATAAAAAAAATAATTAAATAAAAAAGCGTCCCCGTCCCATCTTCATGGACTTGGGCAGACTTTCCTCCAAGGCCAAGCAAATCGAGGGTCCCCAGCATGACAGCATCTCTCACCCTCTCTCCACAGAGTCCAAGGTCGTCCGGTGAACCTCAGTCGAACGGGAGAGCTGCTTGAGAACCGTTTGCTCCCAGACCCTCTGCGGGAGCGGACCGGACCCGAGCGGGGAGAAACCACGGGACAAGCGCCCACCCCCCGCGGTCCTGGTGCGGCTTCTCTGCGGCTGAGCCGGCCCTCCGCCCGCAGGTAAGGGCTGTGTGGCGCTGCCTTCGCTTCCTCCGCCTCCGGGAAAACCTGCTCTGTCCAGGCGGCTGTCAGGCGGCCGGCGCTGTGTGCGGAGCTGACCTCGACCCACGTCCGGGGATGGGCAGGGCCTTGGGGTGCTGTCTCTGCAGAGCTTTGCTGCTGCGGAGCTTGGGGGCCGGGGCAGAGCTTTGGGTGGGGGGCAGGACCATGCGGAGGTGAGGCGGAGGGAGGCTTTTGGGACTTGAGGTGCAGGAGCTGCTCTGTGACAAGGGCTCCCTGGTGGCACTTTGGGGACCCGTTTTCCTCGCTGTAGGTGCTGGAAGTGACCTCCGCCGACCACCTTCTGTAACCAGCTGCAGGGGCCGCGGAGGGATGGGGACCCTCGGAGGGACCTCAGGGTGTGGGGAAGCTCTGTGGTCGGTGCTGGGCGCCTTTAGGGCTGGCTGTGGAAGGACCCAGCGGAGCCTGAGGGCTGCCCCCTGCGTCCTGCTGGGCAGTGTGTGTGTGTGTGTTGGCTGAGGTCCACCACAGAGACAGTCTGGGTTTGGAAATAGGCAGAGCTGATCTGCCTGCACCTGCGGAAGCTGTACTTGGAGTCGGAGGGCTGCAGTCCCCGGAGATAAGCCCTGTCTGTGCAGGCGGAGAACCACCTGCCATCTGTCCGTGCTGCACCGCTGGCTCCTGCCGGCTCTGGGCCTCGGTGGCGATGGAGACAGGGCTTGCATTGAATCTGTGGGTTGCTTTCAGTAATGTTGCCATCTAGACGAGTTATTACATAGTGACTGCTCATCTGTTTATTCCTCACTATTGTATGCTCGCTTTGTGTGTTTTAAAATACCCTGTAACGAAACCACCCAGCCTTCTCTGCTTGCTGCCGGCTTGTTTTGGTCATTGAGATTCACTCATGTTGTAGGGCCGCGTTCTAATGGCCTCACGTTCACTGCTGTATAGTATTCCATCGCATGATCACACAGAATTCTTCATGCATTTTCCTGCTGGTGGGTATTTAAGTTGGTTCCAATTTTTATAAAATAAAAAATTGGTTCCAATGAAAACTTGTTTATCATAGAAATATATTGTACTTTATATCTTTAAACAACAACAACAACAATACTCCTACTCCAGGTGCACCTGGGTGTCTCCTTGGGCACATCTGCACGAGTCCAGAGTGAGGCAAAGCTTTATGTCCATCTTCAGCTTACTAGACACTCTCAAGTTGCTCTCCAATGTAGCCATTTATTTAAGTCTAACGTGAGTAGGATTCCTCATGTTAAACTGTCCTTGCATTCCACAATCCCTTCCCTGTGGTGTTACAACATCCTGTGCTTTTAAGGTGCTGGCTTTGCAGAGTGGGTGTTTTTGAAGCCTTTTTGCACCTTGACACACAAGAGGGATGTGCTGCTCCCACTGCAGGTTGCCCTGGTATAGAGTCCCGCCTATTTCCCCTTATAAGCTGGCGGTTTATCGAAGACGAAAATCGTTTCTTCATTGAAGATTTGGCAAAGCTCACCTGGAAAACCACCTGTGAAGGTGTTTTGTGTGTGGCGGGGGGGGGGGGGGGGGGATATGAATCCTTGACCAGCATCTCAATGATTTCTAAGATTATTCACTTTTTAATGACTTAATTTTGATTTCTTAAAGTTTTTTCTATGTTATCCTTTTACAGGTTTAGTGGTATACACACCCTTTGAAATCTCTCCTCTGTAAGAGTAGTTGGTCCTCATCCTTCCTTATATTGTTTGTGCCTTCTTTCTTCCTGCCAAGGTCTGCCTCTCTTATGGGTGTTCCTAAAGATTCGCCTTTTTTATATTGTTACTAGAGGCCTGGTGCACAAAATCTGTGCACTGGGTTGGGGGGAGGAGGAGGGATCTTCAGCCTGGCCTGCACCCTTTCACAATCCGGGACCCCTCGGGGGATGCTGGCAGTCAGACATCCCTCTCCCAATCCGGGATCCCTCGCTCCTTACTGCCCACCTGCTTGCTCCTTACTGCTAGGCTCATTGCTCATTAGCACTACTGAGAGATGGGAGGAGGGAGAGGCTCCCTCCACCGCCATTGTACTCACCAGCTCTGGCTGAGCAGCCACTCCACCTGTGGGTACGTACTGACCACCAGGGGGCAGCTCCTGTATTAAGCATCTGCCCTAAGTGGTCAGTACA